ACGCGAATAAGAGCCACAACGATCAAAAGCAAGAAATACGGTCTAGCAAAATTCGGAAGTTGAGCCATTTGCGTTCCCGTGGAGAGTCTCGTTCATCTGTGGCTTTACTACTCCGCTAGTAGGCATACCTCCACAGGCAGATATAGGGTCCCCAGCGACTCTGCGTCACAGCCTTGACGCAACTATATACTAATACAAAATCATATTGTAAAGTAAAATACATGTTTTCGCCGTTTTCGCGCTTTCTGATATGGGATTTTGAATACAACGTTGCGGATGACCCCAGGTAAGCATTAGCTAGAAACTAAGTTTTTGACTGCTTACTGCCTTATAATTAAGGCAGTCTATGCTTCATGTCTCAAAAGCTAATACAACCAAACACCGGATCAAAGGGAAAAATGTGATACAGGCGTTAAAAAAAGAAAAAAAAGACAGCTCCTTTTAAATGCCCCATAGCAGGTCTGCCCGATTATGTTTTCTAAAAGATTTAGAAGTAGCAGAATAAGATGAAATGTCAACCAAAGGAGCATTCAGTTAAACACTGAGGATGAAATAACAAATAACAAAAAAAAATGAATAGATTGTCTAGAAAACAAAAACAAAAACAGTGAAAAGTGGCAAATAATCACTTACTTATAATCAAGCGCTTCCTTATTATGCCGCTCGATTTCCGAATCTCTAGTAGTCAAAAGAAACATTCGACCAACACTGCGGTATACAGAAAGATCTGTGGGGACTTCTGCGATACTTGCAGCTGATAACTCAGACATTCTCTGTTTCTGAAAGCTAATCTATAATTAACTTGATCCTCTTCAGACAAAATATATATCCTCTCCCCCGAGATGGACCGCAAGAACTCAAAAGTAGCTTACGTGAATTATGAATCTGTAGTCCGAGTTTAAATTTTCAGAAATACAAACTGAATTTGATGAAAAAATATTCAGGGCTTATCCGCCGCTCAGACACCTTTGATTCACTCCCCACTTGCCTCACCATGCTTACAACTAAGTCCTTTGAAAAGCTAATAGTTGAGCAAAGCGCTTCGCAATTGGAAGGATCATCTTCTTTATGAAAACGCACTTTTCAACTCTGTGCGTCTTGTCAAGACAACCAACAAGAAATGATTTACAAAACTTGTAACCACTTGAGGGTCTCACAACAGGAGAGGTTCATTTATGTTTTAAATTCATTTGCGGCCACTTACTAACTTTTTCCGGACACCAATACTGGTAAGTTGAAGCGATAATATTTTCGGCGAGGATAAGCATTGACTTAATCCACTTTACATACCATTTCAAGGCAGTGATTTCGATAATTTAATCGTATGGCTGTGACTCACAAACTCATTATTTGAATCAAACTTTCATATACTTCCCCAGAGCATGTGAATCTTAAATGATTCGAACCCTTAAAATTTTATGTTCGCTCGAATGAGTCGTTCAATCACCATTCACAATAAAGAGAAACTTTGAACCAGAATAGGTGTACCTGAGCGTTCAACTTCTTGGTGATTTCGCCTTGAGCTATTAATGCCTTGGTCTCATTCGTTTTGAATTGCAAATCTTGGAACGCCTAAACCAAGAGAATAGCTCATAACAACTTCAACCAAGATTTACCTTCTTTAGCTCTTCATCTGCCATTTTAAGTTCGGGAACTGCCCCCACTAATTGTCAAATGAAAGACTGATGTGTCTAAAAACATTAGATGAACCGCGGAACAAAAGAAAAAGCAACGCACTTTGTTACAGTACAGCCACGTCACTCTTATTTCGTGTTATCTATGAATCGATAGAAAACGATCACAATGATCTCAACACCACTAACCGTTAGATAAGACACTGCTTGAAAAAAAACGAGCTTCCTCTTCGTTAGATGTGCAGGTTACGACTTCAAGGAAATGGTTTTATATGCGCGTTGAGACCTCAATAGGACAGGCGTCACAAACGATTCCATAC